GCAGGAGTTGCAATACTTGTATCACATAAAATAAACTTCAAAACAAAGAAAGTAACAAGAGACAAAGAAGGACATTACATAATGATAAAGGGATCATTCCAACAAGAGGATATAATCATTATAAGTATCTATGCACTCAAGACAGGAGCACTGAAATATGTGCAACAAATATTAACAGAATTAAAGGGGGTAATAGAATGCAATGCATTCATTTTAGGAGACTACAACACACCACTCACTCCAAAGGACAGATCAACCAGACAGAAAATAAGTAAGGAGTCAGAGGCACTGGAAAACATATTAGAACAGATGGACCTAATAGACATCTACAGAACACTCTACCTAAAAGCAGCAGGATACGCATACTTCTCAAGTGCACATAGAACATTTTCCAGAATAGATCACATACTAGACCACAAAAAGAGCCTCAGTGAATTCAGCAGAATTGTGTTGAGCGGGCTATGCCCTTCCCCCACTTGCCGATGTGGCGGGAATGGAGAACAAAGAACATTCTGTTTACACATTCCATGAGCAACTAACAGGAACCCTGCTGTAGTTCAGTTGGTAGAGCATGGGACTCTTAACATCAGAGTCGTGAGTTTGAGCCGAACTGGAGCAGCTGAGGCAAGCAAGAGGACTAGTGGCTGGTGACACGAAGGAGCGTCAGCCCTCCTCATCTGCCTACCTAGCTCAGTCGGTAGAGCATGAGACTCTTACTCTCAGAATTGTGAGTTCAAGCCCAACTAGGAGTGGCAGAGGGAAGCAGCTGGGCTGCTGGCTGGCGACGCATGGGAACATCAGCCCTCCCAGTTCTTTCTGTCTTTCTTTCTTTTCTTCGCCCCCCCCCTACTGCACTTCAGGACCTGCTCGACTTGGCGCGGCTGGACCGCGTCAAGTGGTGCCCGAACAGGGACCTGAAGGAGAGGGAGAAGGTGAGGGCCACCACGAGGCCAATAGAGAAGAGAAAGCCCTGGCCAGGGTAACCAGAGAAGACACGCGAGAGAAGAAGCGTACAAGAAACGTGGACATGGTAAGTGAATTTTTCTGGGAGCCCAATACGGGACAGGCGGGGAGCAAACAGTTATATATTTGCGGGCTAAAGAGGTTGTTAGCCACCAGAGGAATTAAAGTAGGGAAGCCCCAATTAGAAAGATTTTTAGATTTTATTGAGAAAGTGTGCCCTTAGTTCCCGGAAGAAGGGACAGTAGACATAGAATTGTGGAATGAGGTAGGAAAGGGACTTCAATCTTATTATTCTACCCATGGTCCAAAAAAGGTTCCGGTGGACACATTTGGCCTGTGGACCTTAATTAGAGACTCTTACATGACTTAAGGCAAATTAATGCAGTTCTTAAACCTATGGGACCTTTACAACAAGGCCT